TCTTTGTCTGTTAACGTTGCGAAAGAGCAGGTAAAAAGACCTTACTCATTGTTATGTTACAAAGACCCGGCCTATCCATCATGAGCACTTTAGCAAAGCAGCAAAAAGTTACAGTGGTAAGAAAAAACTGCCTTATTAAAAGGCAGAAATCTTCGGCCGGATCCCCGGCTCATGACGAAACAGCCTTCACAGGACTAGACTGCGCCGGGCTTGGAAAGGGAACAAACACAACTACAGTGAGGAAGCAGCATTTAAGTTCTTGATTTACTCAAAAATAATCATACACAGAGTGTAGTTTGCACTACTGTGACATGTTATACCACTAATGCTTCTTGTTTTATCTCCTCTTTGACTGCTGCAACCCTCACTGCAGCAAACAGCTTCTTAAATCCGTCCTCAGAGAGTTCATGCTGGGATTTATGAAATACAATTTTCCCCAAAATCTTGAGTGTACAGCAAAGGAAGAGGTTAATTTAATTTAAGCCACAGTTTGTCTCAAGGGAAGGATGGGACACGTATAATACTGAGGTAAACAGAATAGCTTATTACCACAGCTTCAGGGCAATTTAAAATGGATTGACTGTGTGTACATGCATAAAATAAATTGTCTGGTTTCTGGGGGCACACTGTCTCAGCTACCGCCACTCGTTACCCTCCTAGGAGTCCTTGTCAGTTGGTAAATGTGTTAAATGTGAGTAAGGACAAATGTTAGAACAAAGAGAAATACAAAAATGTTCATATCTCTTAATCAACTGCAAGTGGGGAAAAGGGAGTGGAGCAAAGATCATGCATTAATACTGAAAATATTTCCCTTTAAAGCTGATTCTCATGCTGGGAATATATTCAGTGTGTAGGACTATCTGTGAAGCAAAGCTGCTCTGAAGCTCCTGAGATTAGGAAACATAACATGAAAGCTTTGCGTAAGGGCAGCCCTAATGGTAAAGAAACATTTAGATATAAACAGTACATTTCCCAGGCTGTACACACCACCACAACTAATCTTGGTGTTATCTGAATTATTGTTTTGTTTCCCAGCTTGAGGTAAAATAATTTCAAATGTATCTGATTAACCGTGGGCAACCAGCCGGCAACAAGAAAAAAGTTGTGAGTGTTCAGAGAAGAAAATGAAACAGTGTAGTTAATTAACATGCAGGGTTCAATTAAATTAAATTAAATTAAATCCATCGTAAGAAAACAGCTCTGGAGAGGTGCTACTCACTTCATGCCAGGTATTGAATCAATACGACTTCAACATTATGTACTGTAAATGTCACGTTTATGGTTAGCTTAGCTGAGCATTTATTCTGAGAGCATGGAGGAACAGCTAGGGCAGCTGGTCCTTTTTAAAGGACCTAAACCTCCAGCAAAACGACATATGCTAACATTTTCATTTATTTTGGCGTTTCTGTTTTTAATGAATATTTTAAAATAAATTGATGCACAATATGTGAATCAGAGTGTTTTAGAGGTGGTGGTGGTGGTGGGTGTGTTTTGTTTCCGTTACCCAGATCCAAGAATGTTGATTTCCCATGTTTCATGCATGTCTTTTTGCTAAGCTTAACTAGAGAAAAAAAAACGACCACTTTGGAGGCTTTTAGCTTTAATTACCTGTACACCCAAATTTTGTATAAATTGGGATGGGGATAGCCAAATTATGTGTCCGCTATATGCATGAAAAACATCTCCAAAAGGCACAGACAACACAATTATACATAATACTGTTAACATGCTTTGCAAAAACTCATCGTCCTGTACAGTTGTCTTTCATAAAAGAGACCAGAGCGGTTTATTTGTACCAGGCTGTGTAATATTTATTTCTGCTGTACATTTAGGTACTTAAATATAGGGCCTCATGAGGATTGAGATGCTTTTTGTAGCCAGACAGCAATCAAAACTCTTAACCAGCTACCTTTTTGCCGGATCACGAGCCCTTAAGCCAGTCCCAGCATGAGAAGAAAAATGAGAGATAGCCTTTGTCAAGAGGTTCACCACAAGTTCAGAACAAATGTTCACACTAAATGGTGCTGCTGGGAAAGTCATGTGTTGGGTAAAACTGACAGAATCAACAGAGGCTTTCTCTTTAAAACTTCAAAACACACGATGTCAAACCTGTATGCTTGAGATACTTCTGAATGTGTCTCTTTCACAAGAGGTTTAAAAGATCAAAAGCACTCATCAATTTGCAAAGCTCTGTAATGCAGAGGTGCTTTACAGACCTTGAGCTTGTGCAAAAATAACTGCAAAAAGATTAACTGTAGTTGTATCAAATGTAAGAAAATGTGTTTAACCAGGCCATCATTGTGGTTCAGTGTTGTCACTTTGGCTCGGCCTCAAGTATCTCAACAAATATTGGCTACAGTATGTTTCCATTAAACTTGGTTCAGATAGTAATATTGCCCAAGATCAATTGTCAGTGTGAACACAACCTTGTGTAGATTGATAGGATACTAGCTCAAAAAACTTCAGCCAGGCTTGTTCTATCACAGCTGCATAGAAATGTCTGACGGAAGATGACAATTGTGTATATTTAACAATTTGCTTGTAAAACCTTTTGAAGGACAAACTGTTATAATACAAGAAATTTTCTGTGTAAAAGCATTCCAGTACAGAAAACAAAACACGCCATAAAGAAAATAGAGGGAGATACAAATACGGAGAATTTTTTCATTTCTACCTGACACACAGTACTGGAAAAAGAAACCTCATTACACACAACATTAAAAAAATAATAACAAATTGGGCAATAGAACGAATTAACCCAAAAATAGTCCCTCTTAATCATCACATATGACTCATTAATAGGGCCTTCACACTTGCAGGAAACTCCTGAAAACACCTGATATTTCCAGGAGGAGCTGTATGTGTGAACAGCCACATTTTTCACTCAGTCTTCAACCGGAGTTTCTACTGCTAGACCAATATTATTTTTTCCACAGCAATTCCGAGTGGGCTGATGTTATCACTAACTAAAGTGATTGAGGAAAGTACAGGCTTCGTAAAACTCAGTATAAAAAGTTTTTTTTAATAACCCTTTGGAGGACATTTCTACTGATGTTTATGTAGCACTGCACTTAATCTGCGGCAACATGGACACAATGTTCGATGGGCACTATTCATTTATTTTTGTATATACTGTACATTGTTTACTCTTGTGTTTTATGTTTTATATTCTATTTTTTTATCTTATATCTTATAGAATTGGGCTCATTGTCACCAACAAAATATTGTTGTATGCATACGACACAATGTATACAATGTATCTTATTTCGAGACTGCACTACTGTCGGTAACAGAATCGCTGCGTTTGGCTCGAGCTGCAGGTCAGTCCTTAGTTATATTGCTGCTAGATCTGTCAGCTGCCCTTTGACACAGTAAACCATCAAATCCTTCTCTCCATACTCTCTGAGGTTGGCATCTCAGGATCTACCCTGCTGGTCTGTTTCCTACATCTCAGAGAGAACTTTTAGAGACTCTCGGAAGGTCCAAGAAGTGTCCAAAGCGTACAATTTATTATAGGTGTGCCTCAAGGGTCAATGCTCGATCCCCCTCTCTTTTCAACACTCACTTCACTCACACTCACATCCACTCCCATGGTCTCTCATACCATTGTTATACTGAAGATCCAAAGCTATCATGGACTGAGCTCCCTGTCAACCCAGTAAATACCTCAGTGCAACCACAGATAAATATCCAGCTTTGAAAAACAGCCAAACTCGAGTCTGCCCAGAACTTTGCAACTTTGAGGTATAAATATAATGGTAAACATCTTGTGTTTACATTGCAGATGTGTCACAATCACACCCACTCTTCCATACAGTGGCATAGTATTTACATGAATGATTGTTGAGCTGATAGAGAACACTTTTATATTTCATCTAGAGGTGAATTATTTATGTTTTATACTTGAGAAGACTGTCTTATTGTGCGGAGGACCTGCCATCTTCATAAACATCTGCCTCTTTCTTCTACACATTTGATGGTTTGGATCTATAGAAAATCAAAAAGATGATGACATTTTTGCTTGAATCCACCTCAGCAACAAGATGCAGCAATAGTTTTTTGTTAAATGTCAAGTTCCAAGATGAACTACAGAAAATACCAACCTGCACTTTAGTTTTCTTTTATAAATTGAATTAGTTTCAATAATGTTTGACGGGTTATTTCGACCTTTACTGCCATCTTGTGGACAAAGGAAAAATAGCTAAAACATAAAAGAAGAAAAACAGTTTTCTATTTATTATCTGATGATGTTGTAAAACACATTATTTGACTAAATCCACTCTGAATCCTATCCGTTTCAATCTATTCAAAAGTGCTAATTCATAATGAGGAGACAGACAACCAGCTCTTCAGTGTAACTATCCTTGAAAAGCTTTTACATTTAAATGATGCTATTAGGTATTAGATGCCAGAGGTCTGTAATTGATAAGAGTTTTATCAAAAAACACTTGAAAAATATTTCATTAACACACCTGCTCTTCAAACCTTTTTTTCTTCAAACCTTCACCTTGTGTAAAGCTTGGAGTGAGCTCCTTTTAGATTAATTAATTTTATTGAACCAAGGCAGATTAAAAGAGAGTCCTTTTAAACTCTAAACATCTGAGCTCCACTTCACTCACTGCGTTTGTGCTACTAGTGAAAGACAGTCATGTCAGTGAGACCAGAGCTGAAGAATTAGTCACTTTAGCATCAGATAAATTAAGGGAGGAAGATCTATATATGTATGAACTGTGTGATGAGTAGCTAACTGAGTCACCACAAAGAAGGCCAGTGGCTGATTAAAATATTCCGCTGCTCATTTAACCTATGGATGAATCAGAACATCTTTGCATGGAACTTTATAATGGCTTTACATCCAAAAAGGCTTGTTTTCCTTTTTTATGGCTTATGAGCCAACATCTCCATCTAGTGTCTTTATCAGTGAACTGCACGTAGAAGACATATTTCACTTTTTAATCAAATGGAATGTATACATAAATAAATAACCACAGAAGAAAAAATGAGTTCAAATTTTTATAAGACTTATAAAAAAAAGAAAAAACATAACACAATAACCAAGGCATGTCATACATTGTGTTTTTCCTTTGTTTCTCTGAAGAGTATTTACAAACAGGCTTATGTACACATAGCAATAACTCAGAAATGGAAAAAAGCTACATATAGTCAAGCACAAACGACCAGTTAGCATATTGATAATATATTTGTTTTATGTACAATGTAACTGGCTAGGCTAGAGCAAGAAAGAACAAACGATGAAGAAAAAGGTTAAAATCACTTCAAGTATCTTGTCTTGAGGTTTCGTGGAGGTTTTTTGTCCTATGGACTCAGATTTTCAGCAACACTGAAGAGAAACCCAAAAGTCCGGTCAAGCTGCAAACCGTGTAGTGTGGCGTGGAAAGGTCCAGAGGAGCTTTCGCTGTTTGGGAAAGTAACAACAACACAGGCAACAAACATGGAAACACAGAACAATCACTTCTCTGATAAATGCCCACTTTTAAGAATTTTTTAACACAACTAAGGAAAGTCTCCTCTCCACACATAAAGTGATATCCAGCTTATAGGCCTTTAGCACATTTTGTTTCTGCTTTGAATAACAAATGTGCAACAGGCTGAAAAGTAAAAAAACAAAACAAAAAAACATGAACAATGGGGTAATGAGAACACGTCACTCGGAGGAATAAGGTAACTGTTGACATTTTGAGCCAACAAGTTTTTCAAACACTTTTCATGTTTGTGGACTTTGCGATTTACTAAACATCTTAGGTATCTAAAAGTAACTTCACAACATTCAGAGGCCATTTAATTGTCTCGCTCATGAAATCACAACTCCCACTCGGAAATTATCTCCATCGTTACGTTGTTTTTCATTTAATGAAAAGAAAACTTCATAGTAACTGCAAAAGAGTAAGTTATTCATTCAACTAGTACCTTACATGTAAATTAAGGTCCAAATATACTGAAACCGTAGTCGGAATTGCACAGTTAGCTGTATGAACTAGCTTGTTGTAGGAAAGCTCTTGCTTTTCTTCTACTATTAGCAGTAGTTATTCCTACTCTACTTAAATATAACTACTAGTTAGAAAAGTGTGGCCCACGCAGGCCATTTGTCCTATTAACGTCTCCAAGTGCATCAACACTAATGCTACTTCACGACGTTCATATAACAACACTGAAAGGTTCAACTGCCTCCCCATGTTTACATTTCAGTTTAGTGTGTCCATTTTGGTAGGAGAGAAAAATGTCCATATACAACACAACCCAGGCTACGGCAAGAGCCAAACAGAGCGGTTTCAGACAGCACCTGTCCCAGAGCACTGCTTTCAACAAGACTTAACTGTAACACTAAAACTAGGAGCACCATAATGACTCTAGTGTAATTTTTAAGACCTTAAAGTGGAGCAGCAAAATAATAAATATTCAAATTTCTGTTCTTGTATGGCTAAAAGTAAAAATGCCATCAGGTGTCAAATTAGAGTCAATTAAAATAAAAAAATATGCTAAAAAAAATTGTGAAATTTAGGACCAATCACTCAAAATTAGTGCATTTCCTGGACAACAGGGTACCATTTGAAAATCTGCTACTACACAACACGCACACCACCACCCTCCCCCACCTCTCAGCAGACAGCGAGGGGCAAGGGGTCACTATCACGCCGCTGGTTTTTCTTCAGCAGCTGGATGCGATTGTGGCAGTAGAACTTGATGGCTCTCCAGTCACGGTGGTTGCTGACCAGCAGGGGGCACTGCTGGAGACAGCGCTCACAGTCTGCCTTTGCAGGGACTCGCAGCTCTGTGATGTTTTGGGTCAGGTGCTCCTCAACTGCAGCGCGCTCCGCCTCAGACCAGGGTCGCTTCAGGACGCCTCGCTTGCCTACAAAAGAGGGGGATGAATGAGATTCACATGTGTTGTTCAACTTAAGGGTAGTTAAACCTTAAATTGATCCCATACCCCTACTCTCTATCTCCCCGAACCTGACCCTGTGTGCTTTGAAAACCGTAAAATTCAAAACTAGACACTTAAAAAAAGACTTAGTCAGAAAAATAGTCAGAAAACTATTTCATAGCCTTCACAGTCAGGAAAAGTTATAATCAGTTAATTCTTTATTTTAAGTACTTCTTATTTTCACCTTCAAATTACATCATATATATACAGTATGTATTTTATGCAAGTGCATTCTTACATGTGCAATTTTGTCCATTTATTTATCTTCAAATGTTTGGTTATAATTGTGAAATTACACTATGCTTTTTACAATTCATCAGAAAATGTTCAAGTCTTTAAATGTTGACACCAAATTTCTCAGTTTTAAGATCTGGGACCAGTATAAGAGACTTTTTATGATTTAAAAATGACTGAAATTTTATATCAATTCGTGAAGTAGTTAGGAATTAGTCATTTTCATTTGTGTAATCATTAACCATCAAAGTGTTGCAGACCTGTATTAGTCTTAACCTTGAAACCAAAACAAACCTGATGCGGGCTGACCTGAGCCTCTCTTGCGATTTGCAGGTGGAGAAGGAATAAGAGGCGGAGGGGGTAGCTGGGCGTTCTTGAGCTTCTTTGGTCGTCCAACCCTCCCGTTGTTCTTGCCCTTCCTCACATACAAAAGGGTGGGTGTAGGGGTCGGAGCAGGAGCAGGGGCGGCCAGATCTGGCTTCTCCTTCACTTGCTCACCATCAGATTCTCCCTCTGAGTACGAGTCTGCAGAATTTCCTGACATGACTGGACGGATGGTGAGAAAGGGAAGATGGCAATGAGGGAGGAGGCAACAAAAGAGGGAAGCATAGAACTTGATCAGTCTAATCTGTCACTTCTCTCCGAATTCTTCCACATGAAAGATTTTTTTTAAACTAGAATAGGGCCTGAATAATAAAAAGACAGGGAGACCCAGTACTGAGCCTTGAGGCACCCCTGTAGTAAATAGTGCGCTTTGGACACTTCACCCTTCAAAGACTCTCTAAAAGATCTACCTGAGAGGTATTGGCCTTTGCGAACACCTGAAAGATGATATTATGTATCTAATAATACTGCAGTCAATGCACCTATCAGATACCACAATTTCACATAGTTTCAGGTTAAAGATCATATTATGATTTTTAAAATAAACACTCTTCTTCCGGCAGGGAGCTTGATGTTGGGAAAAGCAACTATTAATATGGATTTTGTTTAACTGCACAGATGTCAGAGGGTCTGTATTTGCCAATACTCAAATCTAGGAATCTGTATCAGACAATAAATCTGCTCTGAGCAGCTTCAGCACATCATTCCCTTATCCACACACAAATATCCACGTTATCTGGAAAGAGGAGCGTAATCCTTCTCCAACCAACAATGTTTGACACCATGAAGGAAGCATTGATACATCACATCTTGGACAACAAAAAAGCCAGTCCCACTCTGACTGTAATCCAACTCACCATCCAGCTCCAGGCAGATGTGGTTCAGGCTCATCCCTCGGAACAGCACTCCATCTCTCTCTCCACAAAGCACAACTCGGCCCACTCTGCCCATCAGGCCTGGGTCTTGACCAATCCCAGCACAGTTCTGTGTCACATGATACTCTCTCTCCAGGAAGTGCTCCAGTCTCTCCACAGCGTTTCCTCCAGGCTGCCCAGGGTCCTCTCCCTCCCCTAGGAGCAGCAGCTGGGTCAGAATAGCTACTTGTCGTCGGACCCTGGTCTGGGTCAGGGCGCGAGGATTGCGGGTACCGCTTGAACGGGCCAAACTGCGGAGGAGGTCGGTGCCTCGCAGCGGGGTGGCAGGGGAGTGATAGGGCCGAGCAAAGACGTACGGGTTTGCAGGGTCAACACCAACGTCCTGACGCGTCTGCAGGAGGAGCTCCAGGCAGGGCTCGCAGTGAGGGGGGAGAATGAGGGGCTGGACTCGTCCACGCTTACCCTGTACCCCGACTCTAGGGAGGTGAGGAAGCACGAGGCGCTCAAAGGGGGACAGGGAGGCCTCAAGTGGGGTAAGAGCCGGAGGGGCACCAGGTGGGACAGGGACTGGGCACTGTGGAGTGACACGAGCACGGTACTCAGCAATGGACAACTTGGAGACCTCACACTCACGTCGTCGGTTGTAGAGGATTAGGAGCGCCAAGCTGGAGTGGCAGAGAAGTCGCCATGCCTCAGCCGACTGCAGCTGCCGAGACAGAGACAGGAAGGCCGAGTGCTGCAGTCGACGAAGGTACAGAACAAGGGAGGACAAGGACGAGAGGAGTGGCAGCAAATGGTGACGCCCTGAACCACTGTAGGAAAAAAAAAAAAAGAGATAAAAGATGAACATTCATTTGTCTCTTCCAGGAAATACTGTTGTATAAATAACCTCAGGTCTACCCTCCTGCCCCCCTCATACAGACAGATATATTTTCCATATCACAGAAAGTATGTCATTTCACTGATGAATTAGCTGCAACTCTGATTTGTGCCCTTGATTTCATAACTAATTTCCCTGAATTAATTTAATAAAAAATGTAGTTAGGAGCATCTCTCTGTCAAACGTTCGGTCAAAGAACTCAACATACCTCAGCAAGTCCTTTTCCTTGTCCTCTGCCCCACTTTCATCCTCCACCTCCATCACTCCGTTTTCCTCCTCCTCGTCTTCCTCCTCTTCATCTTCCTCCTGTTTTGTTGGATCCATGTCTTTGGCTGACCTGCTGATGAAGGACTGAGGGCTCACCAACTCAACATCCTCCTCCTCCTCCTCCTCTTTGAGCCTCTTCACCTCCACGACCTCCACATCGTCTTCATTCTCATCCTCCTCAAACTCTACGTCCTCATCCTCCGCTCTTTCTTTCTTAAACCTCCTTATCCCCCCCTTCCTAGACTGTGACATTGCCACAGGAGGCGGGCTCCTCTTTAACACAGACACTGGCACTGCGTTCTGTCCTCGTGGAGGGGTAAGCAAAGGAGGGGTGCAGGTTCTTCCAGTGGCGGAAGGGGATTGGTTTGTCGCTGTGAGAGTGGACGGAGACATTGAGAGGTCCTGGACACCGCTGTTTGGAAGATCTGTACTGTGGCCGTGCCCTATAGCTTGCGACGACTTTGAATGCTGCAGAGTGTGAGTGTGAGCTGGTGTAGGATGTGTGTTCTGTGCATGCAGGCGGGGCATTTGTGTGTAGCGCTCCACGAGGGCTGAGCACACCTCTGGTTGGTGGGAGTGGTGTTTATCTAGATGACGTCCAAGAGAACGGAAGTGGCGTCCACAGTACTCGCATGTTTGCCGCATGGAGTCTATGGACACTCCTCCTTTTTGGGCGTTTATGTTGATGCTGCTCGTGTTGTTGGAGCCCAGCGGAGCCGGAGCTTTGAACACAGGCTTAGCTGCAGAAGAGAAGGAGGAAGACGTGCAGGGAGGGGAGGACTGCGATGGAGGGTGGGATGAAGGAAGTGGACGGTTTGGATGAGGAGTGCTGGCAGAGGAGACAGGCATCGGTCGACCAGGTGGGGTCCGATGGGGGGTCTTTTTCTTTGAAGGAGTGCCACGGCGTTTCTTGCGGCGGCGGGGCGTGCGCCCGCGGGGGCTGGCGTTGTCTTCATCTCCAGCGTCTGAATCACTGGCGTCAGAGTGGGAGATAGGGGAGGAGGAGGGGGAGAGAGACCATGAAGGGGTGACGTACTCCTGCTGCTGTTGTCGTTGATGTTGCCTTTGCCGTTGCTGCTGCTGGGCTGTCAGGGGGAGAGGCTCATCCTCCTGGAAGTAAGAGAAAGTGTCACAATTAAAATGCTATATTTTCCAGACATCTTTTGCAATATTAACACCATTTCTTAAAGTCTGACAAGGTTGAGGTGCATTCAAGTGATATGTTTTGTGAAAAACTAAACGATTAGATTACTTTAAATAGATGCATTTTTGGTTTCTTCATTCATACCTTAATTTACTTTTTCTCTTCCTCTCTTCTAAGTTTATTTGACAAACGTTTATAACAAGTCAAATGCCATAAGCAGTCACTGGCATTGCATATAAACGCTGTATGTCACATAACTGTTCCCCAAAGATTTCTGCACAATGTCACAGTTTGGCTCCGTCAATTGGTTTCAAACAGTTGATGTTGACATTGCTTCACCATTAAGAATATCTGAGCATCACTGGAAAGATAATAAACAGTTCATTATCTGCTTTGCACACGGGTAATACATGATTGCTGCAGTGTCTCCACAGAAGGCTGAGAGTTTAGACGACACGATGTGTCTAAGCCTTTTCAGATGGTGCTGCTTGTTTTAATATTAAGGAGTTTAACTTGACAGAGACTTTTTAGTACTACTACAACTAATGAACAATGATGTAGAAAGAAGGGAGGGAGGGGGGGCTTGATGGTGGATGTTGTGTTCAACAATGTAGCTGTCCACCAAGGACAGGCAGGAGGCAGCCTGAAGATACAGCAGAGTATCATGACAGCAGAAATATTTGCTCTGCTTTTATTGTAGAGTCAGTGATTTATTTAATGTAATGCAGTGACACTTCTGTGAAATGCATTGTAGAGCAGAATCAAGTATCAGACAATTCACTCATACAGTCAGTTTGTTTTTTCTGTGGGAAAGAAATAAAGAACTTGTTTTAACACCACTCTTTTTGCAAAGGGATAGCAAGTTCAAATCCTTGCTGTGTAGCATCACACGCACACAGATGTTGTTTTAAGTTCTGGTAAGGATCAAAGAAGTAAATCATGTGTTTTCAAAACAGTTTCCCATTTACACAGCATGCGGTTACAGAGCAGTATAATATTCATATCGACCAATCAAACATTCAGTCCTTTTTACCCTGTTGAATGTGATGCAGTTAGCAGATTACTGTGTCTATCAGCAGTGTGGTGCTGCTGAGTCAGTACTTTCTGGTGATTTTTTCCTTTTTTTGTGCAGAAAAAATAAAATAAAATCAGCCTGTTGCTGTCTATACAACAATGTGACCCAAAATCATCTTTGTTTCTTTTTTATTTGCTGCCTCTTAAAAACAAAGTAAGTAATTATACCAATAGAGGTCACTTATTAGTAACAGTTACAATGACATTGTGAAGTCGTTTGGGATTACGGAAGTTTTTGTCTTCACCATCTTTGAAGTTTGAAATCTATCTAGATATACATTAGGCAGTAAACATCCTCAAAGAGATAAAATACTCAAATGAAACCTTAATTTAAATCATATTTGTAAACATAATGTCATATCATTCTAACAAACATGTGCCATTAGATTACAATAGCAGTTTGCTGCCTTCTGTCGCCTCTTTCTGATAAACAAACTGGTGTTTGTTTTTGTTTCCTGAAAGTCTGGAAACTAAAGGAAAGACAGATATAACTTGAGTACAATTATGGATTTCAACATTGCCAGAAAAAAATTCATTAGGTTGAGGCCAGGTGCCAAATGCTTAAGACGTAACAAAAAGGAGCAATTACGCCTTCTTGTATGCGGTGATTCCGCTTATTTTCTGTCAAGCTGATCCTGCCATCACCTGCACCAAGTTATAACGACTGACAGTGCTGTGCACAGGGCATCTAAATTTATACATAGAAAGAGGTTCAATCACTGTGAGCGTTTAGGAAACAGTGTTGCTCTTACTCGTACCTTTTTGATATTGTTGCCCATTTCAGCGTCAGAATTACAGTCATGTTGAGCTGGAGACACAGTACCACGGAAACCCTGTGGGATACACAGCAGTCATATTAAAACAGGCACACACTGCTCATTATTGTTCTCCATCAACAATTATCCGCAGCTGTCATTCAGAAAGCGGGAGGACTCTACAGAGGTCGATTAGGACTCCGGATCTCACCAACAAGGCAAACAAAAGATATGAAAAAAGACAGTTTCAAAACTTGTCAACTTATCATCTCTGGGTTTATCAATCAGGTTGAAACAAACTCACAGTCAATAAGCCACATAGAGAAACTAGAAATAGATGTACCTTTGAAAAAAAAAAAACTGTGATACCACAAAAAATTCTGATGTCTGTTTCTCGGTTTTGTTGATTACATTTCCATAAACTGATTCTTGGGTAGTTGTTTCTTAAATAAATTGATCAAATCTAATGAAATCCATTAAAGGAACAGATGTCATGTGATTACCATGGTTACTGTTGCTAAAGCACTATAGGTAGAGAGAGAGTTGGAGCTCGGCCATCACCATGGTAACCCCGTGCCTTGCTTAAGTGTGGGTGTGGGTGTAGGTGTGTGTGTGTGTGTGTGTGTGTGTGTGTGTGTGTGTGTGTGTGTGTGTGTGGAATGAATGTGTGCACAATGTGAAGTGTTAATACGTGTTTGTGTGTGTGTGCAGCTGATCAACTGTGTGTGAAAACACTATGGTTTTCTATCTGAAGTCATCAGAGATATGTTCTTTACTTTGATTTTTATGCTTGTGAGAACAAAGTCTGCACAGAGGAACAAGTGAAGAAGTTTTTATTTTTTTTATAACTGACATTTGAGATTAAATGTCTCTATAATCTAGTGAGGGGTTTTTAAATTAACCTACAAAAAACAAGTCATTTTTTAAAACCCTAAAAAGGCCCTAAGGCCCTAAAGCTGCAATAAGTTCTATGTCGCTGGGTAAAATGTTGGTGCAGACTACTGATGTTTATCACATCAATCTTTTCTCAAGATAATAAGTCAAGCATGAAGTCTTTGTCCCTAAATTCTGACTATTTTTATATTTCTATTTCTATATATTTTCAAAAACACATCTACACAGCTGCACTGGAAATATCAGGTCTTTGTTTAACTATGTTTATATAAATACAAAACGTATAAGCTCCAAAGTGTATGGTTCCAAGTACTGACCATATTCTCTCCCCACTCTGTCAGGCTGTAGTCCACAGTGATCTCCTCCCCCCTGGTGATGTCTCGGATGGCGATGACGACCAGCCTCACCTGGCTGCCACAGTGGACCTCTCGGATGCGGCAGTTTGGGGAGGGAGGGAAGGAGCTCGCAGTCGGGGCGGGAGCAGACGCCGTCAGGGCAGCTGGGGCCGTGGACGCAGGAGTCAGAGACGAGGCCTGAGATGACGTCACTGTGGTCGGGGCAGGGGCGGGGAGTGGTGTTGGGGTTGGTGCTGAGGAAGCTGGAGGAGCGGGTGTGGAGGCAGAGCAGGAGCTGGTTTTGGATCCTGAGGAGACTTTTCCATGAGTCTGCTCTGATGGACCACTGAGAGATAAAGGTGAATATTACAATTACAACAGTGCTTAGACAACACATCCTTTTTGATTCCCTCCATAACGCTACATTGCTTTTTTCTATTTGTCGGAATAAAAATACAATGTGTAGTTACAGAAGTTGTGTTATGTAGTTATTCAGAAAAGTTTGTTTCAAATCAGCAATCATGAAAAATATACAGTATCTATATAGATAGAGCACCTCAGGGATTTCCAGCCTTTCCATCATCTGTTTTATGGATTTTAAAATTATACACTGTATGTAGAGAGGTGCTAAGTCGTATGAAATGTGAAGAGTGAAGGCTGAATGAAACACCTTTTCCCTTTCCTCTTTTTCATGATTGTGTCAAAACTGTTCTCAATTGGGGTTTCCCAATCAGGCTGTTTAAAGACAACTGTCAGAGTTGTAATAATTATGTTTTTACATTTAAGCCGTATGCCCGTACACTTCTCAGCTGTATGGATCCAGCAGAGTGAGGGTAATCAACTCATACAAACTAATAACAGTGCTCAAAAGAAGTAATTCTCAATCCTGGACGTCAGAGTGCAGCTGATGTTCAACACTTATGCCTAGTCAACAGCATGCTTCTTACATCTCAGATAAATCAGCATCATTATGTGGTTGAAATGAAATCCATCAGAGATCGGGGTTTTATAGGGCTAGGATTCAGAAGTGCTGTTCTCAGACGAAGCTGTCCTCAAGTGCTGAGTTAAGATCAGCAGCAATTATTTTTTATTTTCAATCTAAAAGCTGAGCAATGAGCAGCTTTAAACAGAACTGCATGCTGTTACAAACGATCCCCTCCAACTACTTATGATTTTCCTGTTCATCAATCTGCTGATTTTGTCTTGACATAATTTTCATTCTTTAAAATATAAAACTTAAAATAGAATCAACGATGTATGACAATGCAGCACAGTATAAAGCCCCCAGCCCATTGCACCCTTTAAATTAAAAAAAGAAGACCTCACCTGAACTCACCAACAGTGTCACCAAAAACTGATACACTAAAAGCATCTTAAATAAAAATCCATTTCAGAGCTGTTGTATTTGATCACATTTAGTTATACTGGAACCGTCTGCACTGACCGGGATATATTCTAGAATAATGAAACAACATAGATGTCCACTCACCAGTTGTGAGGGGCATTTTCTGTGCTGTAGAAAGGTCCATCGAGTGTGGACCGTTTATTCTCTGCAGCTTCTTTACGATCACCTGAGAGCACACAGAAACAGTCCGTATAAAAGGATTACATACAAGTGTGAAGGGAGACACACACACACAGACACACACAGACACACACACACACACTCAAAGGTCATCACCTCATCTCCTAGAGCACATACACAGGTGCACATTGCAGCACATATGTAGGCACAGGCGCACACACACACACACACACACACACACACACACACACACACACACACACACACACACACACACACACACACACACACACACACACACACACACACCACACACACACACACACACACACACACACACACACACAATAAGTAGGTCACACTCACTTGCACATGCTCCACCCCCACACCAATCACATAGACACGCAGACAGATATGCACACACACACACACACACACACACACACACACACGTGCACACACACAGTCGATGGCGGACATGCAGGGCATGCAGATAAAACACACACCTTGATTGAAGCTGTGTTCAGGCAAACTCTCCTCCTCGGTGTGTGTAAGAAAGACTTTCACGGGTGTCCCTTTCCTTTTCCTTCCACAGCCCCGCCTGCAGAAAACACACACACACACACACAAACATATAATTATCATTTAATCAATCTGCTCACTGGCCAAACTTCACATCAATCAGGTCAGCGAGTGATCAATAAGCTGATGGCCACCTAATGGATCAATACAAATTGCGGTGGGCCCTTCCATATAAGCAAATGAAATATAGAACGAAGACACCCTAACGAGACAATGATTACTAAAACTGCTCTGCCTGGAACATGACGGTCTTACATTCAGATGATCTGCCAATTCACTCAAATAGAGACTGAGGAATTAGCCTGTATTGCATGTCAACCTATTACATTGTTTTTACAGAACTGTGAATTTTTTTTTTTAAGTGATCATGAATATCGTTCCCTGTTGACCCCCATAGGACAGATATATCCAGCGCATTATTAAACCATTACCCTGAAAATGAAAACAAGCCCACACTTACTTATAACTCTATAACGACAAAAAACAAATTGATCTTCCACGACCATACAAGGCTAGACAATAATACTAGTCCTGATAAGAAGTGTCAGTGCTGATACCAACAAAATAATCCTTAAAAAATATCTGAGACTAAGACGAACAATAGCAGTTATACAAAAATTGGTGATTGAAGTGTTTATATCAGATAACTTCTGTTCAAAGATTTTCTAACTTAATAGGAAGACTTGCAATTCTCAACAGGAAAATATATTGTTCCCACTGTTTATTTATATGAAACAGTCCTTGATATAAGTGTTGCAAAGATGAAAGGGTTGCAGCACCCTGCCACACACACATCAACTTTAACCTGTCATAAGTTTCCACACTTTAAAGGCTTTTAAACTTTTACTAGGCGCATGAAAACACTGAGTCCAGCTTTATATGAGGATGATTATGTTAACCTGTGACCTCTGACTAACAACCACACTGGCCATATTTACATTCTGCGATGTAGTTTTCATAGTTGAGTGCTCCGACCCCTGGATCATCACACTGTTACCCGGAGGAGCTCAAACTCTGCCACCTGTGTGAGCCCAGAATGGCCAAGTAAGAATACCTTCTACAGAGCCAAAATGGCCTCACTCAGAAGAGCCGGACTGATCCTGCTTGTGCCGATTCTGGGCTAGTTTTGCTAACACAGATCTCAATATTTTCTTCCATTGGTCTCGTTTCTTTTCTTGCATGACATTGGAGGCTTTTAAAAGTAGGCCATAGAAAGATCGTGCTTTGGATCCTGAGGTGTTCATTACTGTGTGTGTGTGTGTGTGTGTGTGTGTGTGTGTGTGTGTGTGTGTGTATTTGCATGCAGACAAGACAGAGAAAAAAAGAAAAAAAAGGGAAGAGGAAGAAAGGAAAGGGAAAAGAAAGAGAGATGAAGGAAAAAAAAAGTCTTAAAAAACAGACAGAGGGAGAAAATTGGGAAAGGGAGCAAAAGAGAAAAAAGGCAGAGAGAGAGAGAGAGAGAGAGAGAGAGAGAGAGAGAGAGAGAGAGAGAGAGAGAGACTCATTCAGCAGAGATATCAACCAGACCCACTGTCTTTGTATTGATCCACTCCACTCCCATCTGGACTCGTGACACTTGGCGCACATGTGTGTGTAAAAAGGGTGTGCGGCTGCATTTGTGCTTACAAACATAAAGATTCTGTTTTCTACTCCCGGGAAGTTTTTCTCTGCACACAAACCTGCAGAAATATTTTCTTTAAAATATCTTAAAACATGAAAAAAAAACTAAAAGCCAGCTAAAGCTATTTAAGTAGACACACAAGCCAACAGAGTGCTTGGGCTTCTATAACAAAAAGGCTTCCAACAATATAATCAATGAAGTGAAGGGTTTCCTCCATATGACTAAACAAAATGATGGTAATTTACATATCACAACACTGTAAACATCACATAACCACATAATGGCCGAAATGTCATAATAACATCCTCTGTGGCAACCACAACACTCGCTATCTGACAGCACACTGTTTTGATAATTATACCTCATTTGCACATGGCAAAATAAGCTTACATTAGTATAGGATCTATGTACTGGTATGCAGTACCTTGCATGATGGCATGAACTCAATGTTATGATGTGAAGTATTATCTTGGAAATAGTATTCGACAAAACTTTTCAACTTGGCTCCACTAGATGTCAAACTTTCTGTTTTTTTTTCAGAGCTTTCTAACAAAACTCACTGACACAGTACTGGGGCAATGTGTTGATCACGGACCAAACTCCATCTGTTGATTCATCCATTGAATGCAGCTGTTGGCTCAGGAAAAAACTAGTAAGTAGAACTTTAAACCACTGTTCATTTTATAAAATCAGGCTGTTGTACAAGGCCAGCACTCAATCGTGTTTCCTGAAACTCTACTTTACACAACTGCGATTTAACTTAATTTTAAACACTGATAAAATACTAGCAACTTTCAGACACTATTGACAGCTGTTTTAATACCATGGCAACAACGATAGAAGTCCCAGGCATTTTGATTAGTTGAAAACTTGCAGCCAATCTCCTGCACTGTCTAATTTGCCCAGTTAGACGGTGTTTTGAAGTCAACATTTTGACAGCCTTGGACAGTCAAAAGTCTGTGGAAGATTGTAACAAGAGTGGGATGTACACAAAGCTTTAACATTGACAGGCTGAGCTAACAGTTCTGAGCTACACTCGATCCCAACAGGTCACCAACTTTTCCCAGAAAAAACACACTTTTCTTCAGAGTGTATATTCTGCTGGATTATTTTGGGTTGTCTGAGTGTGTGTCTGTGTACTCAGTTCTGGTTCAGCGAGTTTCTGGGAACTTTCTGGCCAACTAAACCCGTCTCACCTCCACTTTTTCACTGAGCTGACCCCTAAATCTCGTCCGTCCATCCCTGTCTCACCCTCACGATCGATTCTCTCATTCTTCTCTCCATGCACATTTTTCTCCCTTCTTCACTCCACTTACAACACACACACACACACACACACACACACACACACACACACACACACACACACACACACACACACACACACACACACACACACACACACACACACACACACACACACACACACACACACACACACACCGAAAACACCTCCCGCCAACCCACATCCATGCACAAATACACAAACAAGTCTACACTCAAGACCCACATATGCGTAAGCACACGTACACACACACACACACACACACACACACACAGCACTAACACTCCACATGTGCACACAAACACACACACGCAGACCCCTCCCCCTCTCTGGCCCACATGCATGCACATGCATGCACAGACACACACACACACAGACACACACACACACGCAGACACACACACGCACACACACACACGCACACACAGTCACGCGAACAAGCCTTTACTCTCTCACACACACACACACACACACACACACACAAACACACAAACACACACACGCGAACAGGCCTTTACTCACACACACACACACACACACACACACACACACACACACACACACACAACACACACACACACACACCCCTCCCTCTCAGGCTTACAGGCACGCAAACACACACACTCACACAAACTCACACAAACACACACACACTACACACAAATATCCTCTCTGTAGCCAAGCTCTCATGCACGCACACACACACACACACCCCTCCCCCTCTCTCTAAAGCTCACATGCGCACACACACACATAGGAAAGCTCACTCAAGCGCACACACACACTCTCTCTCTCTCTCGCTCTCTCTATCCTGAGCTCAGTTTCTCTCTCCCTCTCTCTCTCTCACATAACCAAACCCACAGTCTCATGTTCCATCTCTGACACACACACACACACACACACACACACACACACACACACACACACACACACACACACACACACACAAAGGCAAGTATGTACTCATCTGCACAATCTGCACATTACAGATTCACAAACTCATGCATATCTGCTACTAAATATTCTTTCTCTTTCTCTCCTCCATTGTACACACACACATGTTCCATAAAATACTATGCTTTCTCAGCCACAGACAAGGATACATATGCTTGAGGATAGATACACACAAACACACACACACACACACACACAACCTCTTGTCACAAAATTTTACTCCATACATTTGGACACACAGAACTAATCACACAGAAGCACAACCTGACATACACTTGTCCTCCATGCACAATGTTCTTTTTAACACACACACACACACACAGAATCCTCAATAATAAAATAGATATACACACACACACCATCCATCCTCCCCCTTTTCACATATACCATACCACCCACACACACTGTGCACACACACACACACACACACACACTGTGCGCACACACACACACACACACACACACACACACACACACACACACTGTGCGCACACACACACACACACACTGTCCTTTCCTCTTTCATAAACAAAGTAGATGCATAAACACTCTCTCCTTCCCTCTGTATGACACACACAAACACACTGCCCTTGTCTAGGAGCCGAACACACAAACACACACACAATCACACACACCATCTCACACACACACACACAAACCTTGTGTCTGTCTCCCCCTTGACACACACCCCTCCCTCTTAGTGACTGCAGAGCAAACACACACACACACACACACACACACACAAACAGACACACACACCTCTCTAGAACAAATACACACACACACACACACAGAAAAGACACAAAGAAACACACACTCACACACACACGCACACACACAGCATATGCACTAGCAACCAAGCCTTCTTTTTCAGTTTCCAAGACTTGCACACTCACCCTCCCCTTCTGTTTTAAAAGCTTGCACACGCAAGTGAATGCACACACACACACACACACACACACACACACACACACACACACACATCCTCACCCTCTGTCACACACTCCCTCTCTTCCTCTCTCTCTCTTAAACAGATACACACACTCAGTCTTTGCTCTCTATCTCTCTGCAAAACACACCCTCCATCTTCTGTTGCTCTCCACACACACACACACACACACACACACACACACACACACACACACACACACACACACACACACACACACACACACACACACACACACACACACACACACACACACACACACACACACACACACACACACACACACACACACACACACACACACACACACACACACACGTCCTTCTCTGTTACACACACACCTCAGTTTCTTAAAGAAAGACACACTCTTTCCTTTCCCACTTTCTGTGTTTCACCAGCACCAACCCTTACCTGACATAATTTCACTTTTCAGACAACACACACACACACACACACACACACAATTAACAGATTCTCTTATCATCACACACTCTCTAAATCTCTAACAATCATGCATTTGATTTGTTTTCTTTATAAGACACTGAAACCTACTCACACACACATCACTTGGTTACACATAAACACAGACCTTCATGCTCTCACACAGACACACACCTCCCATCCCTCTCACTCTCTCACTCACACACACACACACACACACACACACACAAACAAACACATTCCCTCCCCCACTCTCCTAACACACACGTATGCGCAAACACACTCTACCCTCCCCTTCCCTGTGCCTCTAACACACTTCCCTTCTATCGCTCTCTCTCTCTCTCTCTCTCTCTGATACACACACACACAAACACTTTTTATATGCTCCTTCTCACGTACATACACACATGTCCTTCACAGTCTCTCACAATCCTTGCTCTCTCAGTCTCTCTCTTCTGCCTCACAGTAAACACACCTTTATCCCCCTCTATTTTCCACACACACACACACACACTTAGTTTCTCTTTTGCCCTCTCTCTCTCATACACACACACACACAGTCACAAACACTATAACACACAATAAACACACATTTAAAAACAAAATGTATTTTTTCAAACACACCCAACATACACACACTGAACCTTACTCATTCTATCAAACACACACAAACTCGCAGAACCAGACACACAAAAACTCGCAGAACCACACACACACTCACTCACTCACTCACACACTCACTCACTCACTCACTCACTCACTCACTCACTACTACACGCACACACACACTCCTGTTCTCTTTGTCACACACTCCTTACACACAGTGCTCCCCCTCCCTTCCTCATCTCTCTCACTCACACACACACACACTCAGTGTCTGTCTCTGTCACGCACACACTCTCCCCCTCCCATCCCTCTCTCTCACACACACACACACACACACACACACACACACACACACACACACACACACACTCCCTCCTCCTTCCTCTGCTCTAGCACACACACACACACACACACACACACACACACACACAACTCCCCTCCCTTTCTCTCTCTCTCTCACACACACACACACACACACACACACACACACACACACCACTCCCCCTCCCTTTCTCTCTCTCTCTCTCTCTCACACACACACACACACACACACACACACACACACAGAGCTGCTCCTTTCTCTCTCACGCTCTCCCCCCTCCCTGTGTGTGCCTTTCTCTCACACAACCACACACACTTGCGCGCACACTGAACGCGGGCGCGAGCATGCACAGACAGGGTGAGAGAGACACACACGCGCGCGCTCGCACACACACACACTCGCGCACACACACACACACACACACACACACACACACACACACAGGATCTAACAGTAGGCTTTATATTAATTCATCATATTTAATGACTTAATGGAACAGTTGCATTCTGGGTTATGGTCGTGAAAACTTTTGTTATTTACAGTTTGAGCAGAGACACATTTATATAAGACTTCAGATTTACCTGAAGAAAGTAAAACATTTGAAGCACGTTTCAAGTTTGGGTGATCAGAGAATGTATATGTGTCGTTATTGCCTTACCATGCCACTCAAAAACACGCATACAATCGGTGAATTCAGTGTCACGCACACACATCATGCGCATGCACATGTACACAAACTTGTGCACGCGCGCGCACACACCTCTTTGGAGCTGCTTTGTAAGGTGGTATTAACGCTCAAAATAACAAAGCTAGCATGTGACAAACAAGCGACTTTCTTACTTATTATCTTTCAACGCGACCCCGTGCTCTTTCACAAACTTAAAAAAAAAATAACGTATGTTTACAACTTTGGTTGATCAAAAAAAAAAAAAAAAACACACCAACAAATAAATGCGCGCACACACACCCACCCGAGTCTCGCTGTCATTGCGGAGGAAAACACAATCATGAAACAGTTTTTCACTCATTTAATGTGTCGTGGTGGATTTGACTCTCTCACCCCCGCAGTGGCGGTGCCGGTTTGATGCCGTCTCCATCGCTGTCCAGACTGAGTGGCTCCCTGTAGTCGAAGAGCGAGCGTACGGTCTCCGCCATGTTCACGCCAGCGATCGCTGATCTTCCGCCGCCGCACCGTTCAGCCTCTCTCTCGCTTCTCTCCAGCCGCTCAACCGGCTCACACCAAGGTTATTCCAGCCGCTACCACCGCGACGGACCGGAGGGGTGCTCGGCGCGCGGCAGAAAACAACACAACCTCAAAAGTAGGCTAATGTGTCTCTCCAGTGAGCTACAGCTATACGAGGAGAATGTTTTAAGACACTCTGTTAAAATAGCAACCCTGTCTGTGGTATTTATCGGGATTCAGGACACTTTTTTTATACGTAACGCGGTGTTTTCGACCCCCGCAGCGGAGTGGACGCGCTCATGAAGCAGATGAAAAAAAAAAAAGTAGACCGTTTGATAGAGGAGTGATTAGCTTGCTAACTGAGGTAAGAAATAGTAAAATTAATAAGTGAAGATGGGAAAATATTCAGGCCAAGTTTTTCTTGCATGTCTACAATAAAATAAAGGTATTATTGGAAACATTTTCAAGAACCTTTTACTCAAATTTGCACACATTCATATTAAATCAACAGGTTAATTCAACCTCTGCCCAAAATTATTCAATTTTTACATAACCTATGCGACCGTAACCTAAATCACATCACAATCACAAATCTGCATGTAGCCTTTACACTTTGTAATATAGGATATTTATTTTCCGCTTTTTATTTATCCCCTGCTTGAGTGAGACAGTATATTAGGAAAGTGAGATATGAACACTTTTATCAGCAAACAGATAATAATAATAATAATAATATTTGCAAGATGACGTCTCTGTCATCTTGCTCCCACAATCATTACACACCTGATATTTATAATATTCATTATTATTAACAGACCTTTTTTCTACATACCCTCATAAGGAAGCATGGAGCCAGCCAGGCCAAGTATCACATTGCTTCAGCAACAGTATCCATCAACACTTTATTGGTTATCAAATCGTTCCCCTATTAGGCTGTAGGCTACTAGCAGTAATTGAACTCAGGTTTGTTGTTTATCCTGTGGGGACATAATCAGATTTAGTCTACAGTATACCATTGGCCCGATTGCAAAGATTCTGTGAGAAAACACTTGACATGAAGCTGCTATGATTGATTTTTAAGAACACAACGTGGATAATTTGTGAGGATTTATAAAATACTGTTAAATTCAAATATAATGTCAAATGTAAAATGCATTCAAAAGGGGAAACAATAAGGATTGTGTTGGGCAAACACACGTGATATACAGTACATTGTGTCTGAAGTAGGCTATTTGCTAATGAAATAATTATCACTTGGGGGAGAAAGACGGGGCAACACTGATTAGCTACCTTCCAGGTGTTACAGTCGAATTTACACAAAATTTTGCGAGATATTGATTTCTAGACCACGTTGTAAGGCTGAAAATCAGATGATTACTCAAATTATTTTCTCTGTAATTTAGAAAATAAACGAAACAATTTTGAAAATTTTGACAATTTTGGCAAGGCCTTTTAAAATTAAGTAAAAATGGCCATATCAACAATTAGCTTTTTGACAAGTTAGAATACCAAATGAATAAAGATCTTTTGACTGGTGTCGACTCTAACGATCTAAAAGTAATTTATGATTATATTATATATGTTATTTGATATTAACAAACTTTTGCCATCGACTTATTCCCAAACACAATTACAAATATCTATGATTCAATGTTTATGTGTTTTTATTGTAGTCACTTGAATTTCCCCACTGGGGATCAATAAAGGATTATCTTAACTTATCTTATCAGCTTCTTAAATAAAAGTGCTGGCTGTGGTTCAGTAGTGGAGTTGGTCTTCTCTCAACGGGAAGGGGCGGGAGTTCGATCCCACATCCCTCATGAGGTCGAAGCGTCCTTGGGCAAGACGCTGAACACCAAATTTCTCTTGGTGAATGTGTATGAATAGGATTCATTCATACTGATGGACACTTTACATAGCAATCTCTGCCCTCAGTATGTGAATGGGTAGATGTGACCTGCGGTGTAAAAAACACTTCGATTAGTCAGAAGAAAAAGCGCTATACATGTCCATTTACCATTTACCAATGGAGTTTGTTAGGGTATCTTTTAAAAGGGAAATTTAAAGTAGTATGGTTTGTAGATCGTGATGACGTGTTTTGTGGGTGGAGCAAAACTGGTTGCTAAAAGTAGGCTAGCCGCAGCTTGCCATCAATTCACATCAGAAACTTGGCAGTGGAAGACAAGTTGTCTTAGAGTGACAACTAGCACTTATCAATGTGGTGAGGCTCCAGACTCGTACTCTCTGTTGGGTCAGTGTGTCAAAGATCCAATTTAATGGCCAAAGTTAAGCGGACGGATGTCTTCGTAAACATTGTTGAGAAAGCCAAGGTTCCACACTAATATCAAGGCGAATACAAATTTGTAAGTTGTGCCAATGACACAACTAGACATCTTCCCATTATATCAGGGATCTGGCTTGTTTCTTTTCACTTTCATCCTCTTTTCGTCTGCAATCACAATGCACGCGTAACTGGTGCAATGTAATCATGACGTCTGCTCCAAAGTGGTCTATTGTCACTTTGTCCATCATGTCTTGCTCTTTGCTGTTGAATGGTGTGTGTAAAGGAGGCTGACTCACTCACATTACAAAAAATCTACCTCCTAACCCACCTAACCTGTCTAAACCTATCTCTAACATAACCTATCTAACAAACTTTATCTAAGTCCTTCCCATGATTTTCCCTGGTGTTTAGGTTCAGGGCTCTGTGACAGTCTACATTTGCATTTGATTATAGGTAGCTCACTGATTCCCCTTGTGCCCATAGTAGAGACTGAGTTGAACTGCCAAAGAGAATATCACCACAGTTGCTATAGTCTAATGCAGCAACAGAGCGGCACCTGCATCTGCACCTGCTAGTGCACCTGCTCCTGTCTGCGACCATATATGGTCCCTGCAAGTCAAGGGGTAGGTGTTTCTATCAGTCTTTTCTCCAGAAAAATGCAAGCAACCTGCTAAATTATCTGTTGGTAAGTTTCTTCTTAGTCTAGTTATATGTTTCTTTCTAAGCTGTTGTCATGCCTTACTGAAATAAATGTGATAGAACCCCAGAGATAAGTTGCAACCTTTCTCCAAAATACCATTCACTGCACACCTGATTTTTGAAAATGACTGGGTAGGGTTAATGTGTGAACACTGTTCACCCTTACTAAAAGATTACTTTTTTCTAAGCTAATGTGAACGCAGAAGATAGTCTTGAAGGGGGGGGGGGTATTTAATCTTAACTACATAAACCCCTGGTGACAGCTGAGGGGAAAATGGCAAATCGATAGCCTACTCTTGGTTAACAAATGTGTCCACATATTTTATAATCCATGCCCACTGATTTGTGACCCATAGGCAAAGTTTCTTAAACTTTGGGCACTCATCTGTAAACACATCAAGTAAGTCCAATACCTCTGTATTTTAGGGTGGATTTAATGCTATATTGTGTTTCCAATCTCACTTTTCACAGCTTTTACTCTATAACTTATTTATTGCGCTTTTTCCTCAAAAATCTATTTTTAACTCAACTTTAAATCCAGATCATTTGGATTTACTAGGCGGATGTTGTCGCCTTTTACATGGTCCATTCCTTTTCCTCTGATTAAATCAATTCTGTTTACAAAACCGTGCCCTCAGTTTACAAAAACCGTGCCCACAGATTACAAAACCAAGCCCACAGATTACAAAACCAAGCCCACAGATTGCAAGTCCGTTGGCATGAATTAAGAATCTGTGAGGAAGGCTTCTCAGGTTTTTAAGCATGACCACTTTTGGTTTCCTCAGCTGACACCAGTGGGGTGCTTCCTTTCCTGCTCACCTCAGTTATCTGAAGCCTGGTTCGCTCTTGCAGAAAACTCCTGAAGTTTCCGGGTGAGCTGCATGTGTGAACGCAAACAGCGTGATTCTCCTGCCGGCCCCCAATAAGTCTGAGTGAGCCAAAGTTAGAAAGAAGCAGAACATTATCAAGAGTTCATCCCGAGGGAGTGGCATGGAGTTGTGACATTTATTCCCTGCAATAGGTGCATGATCATGGTCTGTCTGCACACGACCAATGTGTTTTCCATGCACGTAATTAAACTGCTGCATTATGTTTTCTGCTCGCCACTATCTTTGTCTCCACTCTTTTGTTAATCTTGCGATATCAAGGCAAATATTCTTATTACTGCGTTGTAAAGCGGTGTCTTGTTGATACGTCCATCACTTCTGCATCATTGTTTTTGCGTCATGTCTTGTCTCAGGAGACCCCCGTGACCCCCCCGTCCTAAAGGGATGGTCTCCAGCTGTGAGGTGCATGTGTGAACAACCAGATCAGGAGGATTTCTGAAAAGTTCAGGAGTGCAAATGTGAAAACTGCTTTAAGTTGTGTTTTCAACTTATTTATTTGTATTACAGAAACCTCCTTTTATATGGTCAATCAATCTCCATTAATCAATCAATCCATTCATCTTTATTTGTATAGCGCCAATTCATAACAACTGTTATCTCAAGACACTTTACAGAAGAGAAGATAAAAGATCTTACTCTTTGATTTGCTATTTTCAAAGACCAAACATTAATGCACCATGAGCACTGCACTAAGAAACATTCAGCAAAGTTACAGTGGCAGAACAAACCTTGAGCAGAACCAGACTCACGATGACCTGCCATCAGCTGAAACTGTGTCGTCATACTGAAGAGTCAATTAGTTAATCCAATACTTTTTGGGCTCCTAGGTTCATGATGAGAAATCACATTCTTATATCCTTTCAACGGACTTCACGGTGGTGCAGTGGTTAGCGCTTGTTGCCTCACAGCGAGTAGCTTCCTGGTTCGAACGCCAGTCGGACACGGCCTCTCTGTGTGGAGTTTGCATGTTCTCCCTGTGCATGCGTGGGTTCTCTCCAGGTACTCCAGCTTCCTCCCACAGTCCAAAGACATGCTGGTTAGGTTAATTGGTGACTCTAACACTGCCAGTAGTGTGGCTGGTTGTCTGCCTCTATGTCAGCCCTGTGATTGACTGGTGAACAGTCCAGGGTGTACCCCTCTTGCCCAATAAACAGCTGGGATCTGCTCCAGCCC